CTTGCAAAAATTTAGACACCTAGTCTACTGCATTTTCTTGGATTACTCGCTAGTAGTTCACAGGGAAGAGTTAGTTTGAACATGTTTTATTTTAGTCTTAGGGAATATGTTCCTGGCTTTTTAATCATTGTTGTCTTTTTTATAACTTTGTTAACCATTCCTTTTCAGTAATTTTAAAAATTCAATATTATCAATTTCTCTGTCTATATTTCAGAACTCAACTTAGCTCTTTTTTTAAATCAGAGTGTATTTTTTATTTCTAGTCATTTCAATTTCCTTTTCCCTTCATTAACAGTAACATCCTCTACTATATAAAGATTTATCCATTACATAATAACAGAAGTTTAGAGCTAGTATATACCTGATCTCACCAACTCTGTATCTCAGCTACTATTTAAGGCCAAATCCAACACCTTTTCTCCCATTTGTATTTTCTTCTCTTCTTATACCCCAGTCATACCTACATAAAAGGCAGTTCCAGATGGCTCACCCAGAACTATCTTAAATATTCTATATTTTGCTTTTTATGGCATTACTCCATTTTTTAACAGTCAGCATTTTAACTCACCCATGTAGATGCTCCATCTACTGGCAGAAGATCAGTTTAGGCTGACGTTTTTTAAAAACTATTTTTAACACTTATTTCCCCCCTTAAAGCACTACCAGACCTGCAGTGGCCTGATTTCCAAGTGTAGCACTCATGAGTGAGATCTTTTTCCAAATACTGATTCACCACTTCCAAGCTGTTCACCTGAGGTATGTTACTTAATATCTAAGTCTTAAAATGGGAATAATGTACCTACAGCATGTAATATAAATATATGTACAGCACCCAGCTCAACAGTCAGAGCATGGTCAACACTCAGTAAGTGCCAGCTATTATCTTCCTTCCTCTGACTTCTCCTTAGTCTAATTTCATCCTATTTAATAAGGTCATGCAAATTCTCAGCTGCTTATATCATTCACTCCCTTTTTCCCTAACCTCCTTTAATCAAATCCTTAGGCCTTCCATCAACCCTATTCTTGATAAGGCAGCCAATCCAAAAGAGCCAGTCCCCAAGGGTCTTTCACAGGAGGCCAGCATCTCTCAGTTGTTCAGCCTCTTTCTCAGTACTACAGAAAAGCACATGTCACTCTGCTGTCTGAAATCTTGCCTGTTCCAAGTCAAATTTTTTTGAAGACTTTGTTTATTTATTTATTTAGAGAGAGCATGTGTGTGGGCGGGGGAAAGGGCAGAGGGGGAGAGAGAGGAAGAGAGAAAGAGAGAAGCAGATTCCACAATGAGCACGACCCCAAAGATCACAACCTGAACTAAAAGCAAGAGTCGGACACTTAACCAACTGAGCCACCCCAGTGCCCCCGAAGTCAAATTTAAGATACCAACTCCACAACGCTTAAAGAGCACAATGATCTTCCCTTTATTTCACAAATAAATAGAGTGAATCCCATGCGAATTTATCTTATGCTGCCTCAGAATTTTCCCAGCTCTTTTATGTGTCCAAGTAGCATTCTTACATGACCAAACTAGACTATACTCTTCTAAAGAACATGGGCTATGTATTTTGCTTTCAACTATCCCATAACAATGTCTGAATTTAGACAGTTTAAAATCTTAGCCCTATTTATTTCAACATACACACATACGTATTTAAAGCAGTAATGATTTTATTAACTTTTCTTACTTAGGAAGAAGTAAACTCAAGAAAACTCAAAAGACTTAAACACTGAAGTAAAAGCCCTAAGCAGGAGAGAATTCTAGATGTTCTTAACATGGGAGAGGAAATTAAAAATAGGCCAACACATTGTTTTTACTAAAAATAATCTGCCACAGAACCCAGTATCTGATATTATTTATTTTAAATAGTGATCATACTATGGGCCTCTGAAAACAGTCAACACATTAAGGCAGAAATCTTCAATAATTTTTTATGTTCACAAAATTAAAAGCCAGAAAGTGCCTTGGCTAACACCACAAACCTCTTTTCTGCTTACATTAAGTGATGACTAAAGAACTTTAAAACAAGCATTAAAACATTAAAGGACAAAAAAAACCATTAAGCGTGTCAAAAATTCACTACGGTTCCTCACTCAAAATCAGCCTCTCATAAAGGAATCACCAGCGTCTTTGCCCTTCTCTTGGCAGGGTGGGAACATAGATCCACAACAGGGTGCTGCTCACAGGCTGCTGGACAGCATTCCAGTTTATTACTCAAGTCTGTTTGTGGGACTTAAAGGCCTGGGCCACAATGGCTTCAGCTTCATCCTGTCAGCTCACATCAGCCCACAGGAGTCCACCCAGCCTTGTCACAACAGGTGGCCCTGGAAGCTTGTACAAATTTTCCAGGTCCAGACTACAAGTCTGTGGAGTCTTATATGACAACAGCCTACACAGAATTCCTCAAGTATGTGAGAAGCACAGTGTCTAGGTAGTTCTAGTGGGGTAACAGCTTCCTGTTACAGCTCAGGGTAAAGAGATGCTCCTACCCCAGAAAAGAGGGAGGTAGGAAGGGAGAACACGCACAAGATGGTAGAGAACGGAGTTAAAAGATCCAGGCTTTCTTCTGTGTCCCAGAACCATAATTCAACAAACACTTACCAGTATCAACTTAACGATGTAGTTTCATAGGATGGATCAGAAGAATCTGGAATCCAGGTCACCTAGAACCTAAACTACTTTCACAGCAACATAAAACCACACACAAAAAACTTTTTACTTAAAAAAGCCCTTATTACTTAACATGACAAAAATGTCCTCAAAAGAGAAATGAGTAAATTAAAATACATAATTAGGAACATTCACCTCAAACATACCCCCACCAAAAAAGCCAGAATGTAGATTACTCACTATGCATTCCCTTGGTATCCATTCTCAAAGGGATTCTTCTGTTTCTAGCACCAAATACACTTAAATGCTTTGTCTCAAAGATTAGCCAAAATACCTGACAACAGTTATGAATATTTGTAAAGACTTGCTAGATCAGGAAGACATGCTTTACAAGTCACCATTAGTTAGGTGGATAAGAGTAAAAAGAAGGTTCTAATAATCTAACAGGACAACAGGCACAATTTAGGAAATGGGGACACACGGTTACCTATCAGTGACAGAACACAAATTTGGTGAATTGCTGGCGCCCATGCTCTGGATCCTAGTGGCCAGCAGTCCACACACTTGAGATATGGCTGCTGCCATCCTCACCTCTCTGGAATCTGGGATCTCTCCTCCAATACTTTCTCTGATTAGCTGCCATGAAAACTTCAGCTCTTCCCACTATCATGGCATCTTCTGGTCTTGCTGTCCCCACCCTCTGTCATTAACTACAAGCAGCCTGATGGTCAAGCAGATGCCTTCTGTTACCTCCGAGGGTTTCAACCATCAGAATCACCAGATTGCCTTGGTCACTGTCAGCCATCAAAACCTGAAGCTTCGGGGCGCCTGAGTGGCTCAGTGGTTTGAAGCCTCTGCCTTCGGCTCAGGTCATGATCCCAGGGTCCTGGGATCGAGCCCCACATCGGGCTCTCTGCTCAGCAGGGAGCCTGCTTCCTCCTCTCTCTTTGCCTGCCTGAATAAATAAATAAAACCTTTAAAAAAAAAAAAAAACCTGAAGCTTCCTAGACACCACCTAGAACAGCTGAAGGTCCCTCAGCCACAGTGACTTAAGACCCTCTCTAAAGTGCCCCACCACCATTCCAGTGAGCCCTTAAGCTAGTACATACCAACTGAAGGCTTCCAATGCCATAGCCCCCAGAAGGTCTGATGCCAAAGCCACTTCCAAAGCTGTGTGCCCTCTCTTGGGGTCACCAAACAGGCAGCACAACATCAAAGTTCTTTCAGAGAATACGCAATGCTTTTCCAACCTTTGCTAGCAAATGCCATCACTAATCCAAAGATGGTGTTGCTGCTGCGAGGACTACTTCTCAGGCCTCTTTTGCCAAGTTGAAACCCTCAGCATTATGGGAATGGTGAAAGCTCTCTGAAAGGTCACAAACACTTCTGTAAACCACAGCTTACCCAAACAATCCTTAGAGCCCCTGCCACACACAGTCTGGCTACACTGTACCTGACCAGTTAACAAAACCTCCTTAGAAGCAGATAGTTCTGCCTTAGACTGCCTCGAGTCTAGCCCTTCAAGACTACTGCTCTACAGGGTAATTTCTAAAAGGTAAGCTTACCCATGAGTTAGACAAAGTCACCCCCTGGATTCCATGAGTTTCTGTTTACATCATAGCTACTAGTTCTCCTACATTCAGACTAAGAAGCAAATCTTAGGACTGGTTTTGCTTTTACAAAGAGCTCTCCCAAAAGTTCTTCCTACCTTCCCACAAGTTTACAATGTGTCAAAAAAATCCATAAAAAAATAAATCCATAAATAATTACAAATTCTCTAATGGCTGATGTAGTCAGAGGTATCACACAGTAACCTTCGGCCCTGTCTCTTAAGCCCCACTATGAACTCCAGGGGCAAAACTGGCCCAGCGCTAAAAATAACCACTTATAAGTAAACCACTAAGTCACAGATTCAAGAGATGTCACCAGAACAATCGCCCAACAGAAGTGGACTGGCCCTGCAGCTAGCAACCAACCCACTCATTCACACAGAAAGCAACAATGGAGAAAAGCAACTAGCATGTACACAGGAAGACAATAGTTAGGATGATGCAAGGGTGTTATCCTAATAACCCCACAAGAGAGACAGTCACTGCCAATGAACTATTCAGGAAGTAGGAAGTTACTTCTGTAAACATACTCTCTCAGAGGAGTTAAAATTTCTTTGGAAATTTACTCACCTTGATACAAGGAACTGTAGTCATATAAACAAATGTTTTTATTTTTGTTTTTTTTAATAGCAAAAGAAAACTTTAAGAGTAATATAATAGAACCAAATCTGAAAAAGTTAAAGCCAGGATGAAAGGACTAGCATAAAAGAATTACTATCAAAGCAGTGCTAGGAGAAGACAGATGATGTTAAAAAAAATCCCAGACACTTCCTTCAACACCATACCTTATCAATGGCTTTTCCAACACGAGAAACACTGCTGTGGATGTCTTTGTGGTCTGAGGCCAGTTTTTGAACAGTGTCCTTTATTCTCTTACAGCATTGTGTCAAAACAAGTGAAAGTGTCCCTGATAATTCAGCATCTTGGCCTATAAAAAAATAAAGAAAGAAATAAAGAGACAGACTGGTTACTGACGAAAGCAAACCCAAAGATGGCAAAATTCAAACAGGCCGTTTAGAACATGAAAGTTGGAAGAAAAGTGAAGAAAAACAAATATCTGCTTTGAAGCAGATGGTCACATTCATAGATAACATTTTTCAAGTGAATGCTAAGAAAGTTATCTTAATTTATTTTTTGGAATAAATAAGAAAACTTTACTATGAAATAAGCCACTTTTGTAATTACCAAAATAGCACAGACTGTGAATGATACTGCCAAGGCATTTTTCAGAAAATATGTCTTACTGAATAAACTCAGTTATCCCAACCACTTAAGCTGTTCAAGTCATTCTCAACACATTTTCATTGTTATTCAATTTCCTGAAAGAGAGATTTAGTCTAAATGCTTTATATTCTGTATAAAGAAGTAGAAAAGAAAACCCAACAAACTTCCGTGGATACCCTGTTGAAAGAGTGGATACAGCAGAAAAAGAGTTAACGTATCCCCATCTATATGGCACAGTGAGCCATTCTTATCAGGGTTCCCCACCACCCTAACTGGTAAGAGTGGCTCACTATTCCTAAACTGTACAATGAGGCTCATGCTGAATTCCTGCTTTCCTTTTGAGACTCTGGAATTTTAGTATGTGCTACGCGGACGGTGCCTCTATGATCAGTCCCCAGTGAACACCCTGAGCACTATGCCTCTAATGAGCTTCCCTGGTAGACAACACTTCACACTTGTTACAATTTGATGCTGGAGGAATTAAATGTGCCCTGCTTGTGCGACTGACACTCCGCTGAGAGAAAACTCTTGGAAATGTTCTCCTGCTTCCTCTGCACTTTGCCCCATGAGCCTTTCCCCTTGGCCGATTTTGCTTTGTGTCCTTTTTGTTGTAGTAAATCTTAGCCATGAGTGTGACTACATGCTGATTCCTATGCATCCTCCTAGTGATCAATGGAACATAAAGGTGGTCTTGGGGACCTTGATACACACAATAAATCAACTGAAAGTTACTACAGTTTATATCATCTTTCCCAGCGCTACCTCCTCAGGAAAAGGAGAGGCGAAGAAGGTGGGAGAAGAGTGAACATTTGTTAATTACCCCATATATCTACATATCCCCACCTGCGAGCAACAGGTCTGGCTTCTGAACTACAGCAGTGGTTCTTAAACTCAAATTTACATCAGAATCACCTGCAGGTCTAAGTTAAAACAAAGGAGTTAGACCTCCATCCCTTGTATCTAATTCAAGAGGTCTGGGATGGGGCTGAAGAATCTGAGTAAGAACCACCCAAATGACAGCAGCCCTAGGATGTCCAATCATCCAACAAATACTTATTGAGCAAGATACCTTCCGGTGAACAACACAAAATAAGTCAATTATATATAGTAGAACAAAAGAGGGTATATTCTATTGGGGGGGAGCACTGTAAAAGAGATGGGGAGTGTATGTGAGCTGAACAATTACAATCTTAAACACAGTGGACAGGATAGACCTCACTGAGAAAGTGATATCTGTGCAGAGACTTGAAATAAATGAGGGAAGCAGCCATGAGGCTACTGTGGGGATGAAAGGTGGCAGAATTGGCCACTCCAAAATATGCTTCTTTGCCATAAGGATTATTTTTTGCATATTATTATGAGAAACAGCAGATACAGGAAAAGTTCTAAAAACAGAGCAGAAGTCACCCTTTTGTAAGGGAAATTTACAATTATGAGGGAAATTCCATTCATAAGTCTCCCTCTCTACCCACGTAGAGAAGAATGGCTCTAAATCATAAGGAACTTATCAGTGAAGAAGGTTCAGACTTTTATCTGCATAACAAACCTTACTTTTGTTTACTGTGCATTTCCTGATAAACTGGCTTCCCCACCTTTCTTTCATCTTTAGCTAAAGATGGTACTTAAGCTTGAACTCTAAATCATTTCTTTGAGTTACTCACTTTTCTCTGAGAACCTCCCATGTATACATAAAGTATACATGTTAATAAACTGTTTTTCTCTTGTTAATCTGCCTTTTATTACAGGGGTCTCAGTCAAGAACTCACAAGATTAAAAGAAAAAGTATTTCTCCTCCCAGGCTGAGAGGATAAAAGCCCTTACAGGAATATACCAAGATTATTTAAAGAATAGCCAAAAAGCCAGTGTGGCTAAAGCAGATGTCTGGCAAAGAAAAACAGGAGGAGAAAAAATGTAAGAGATAATGGGGGTCCTGATCTTGCAGGGCCTTTCTGGCACTGTAAAGACTTTAGCTTTTATTCTGCATGAAAGGGTACCACTGCAAGGTTTTGAGCAGAGCAGGTAACATAAACTGACACATTTTAGTATGGTCTTTCTGACTCAAGACAGGAATACAAGAACAGAAGCAGGAAGAGAAGTTAGGAAGCTGTGGCAGCAATCCAGGTAAGAGGGCAGTGGCTCAGCCCAGGGTGTAAGATGCGGAGGTGGTGAGAAGTGTCTAGATTCTGGATATATTCTGAGGGCAAAGCCAACAGGATTTCCAGACTGAGTATGAAGGAAGAGAAGGACTCCCAGATGATTCCAAACTTGTTTTTTTAGTTTAAGTCAAGTAGAAAGATGGAATTGTCTTAAATTAGAATGATAAAGATTAAAAGCTGAGCAGGTATGAGAGGAAAGAAGAGATAAGGAGTTCAGTTTGGGGCTTGTTAAACTTGATATGTAAGTAGTCACTTGAGCGCACATGTAGAGTGTGTTAGATTTATAAACCTGGAGTTCAAGAGCAAACACAGGGCTGGATATATAAATTTGTGAGTCAGTGGCATGTAGGTGATGCTTCAAGCCATGAGGTGGCTGGGTGGCTCAGTCAGTTGAGCGTCCAAGTCTTTGTTTTGGCTCAGGTCATGATCTTATAGGTCCTGGGATCAAGACCCATGTTGGGCTTTGAGCTCAGTGATGAGTCTGCTTGAGATTCTCTCTCCCTCTTCCTTTGTCCCCCTCCCTGCACTGTCTTGCACTCTCTCTAAAACAAACAAATATTTAAAAAAATAATAAAGCCATGAGACTAAATGAAGACATCAAAAGAGTCAGTACAAACAAACAAAAAAAAAGTGATAAAAGATGGGAGTAACCAACTGTGTTAAGTGCTCTGCTATGTCAAGTAAGATATAGACTGAGAACAGACCACTGGATTTAAAATGTGGAAGTTATGAGTGATCATGACAGAACAGTTTCTCTACAGTTTGAAGGGAAAAAAAAAACAGGAAGTTGTAGGGACTGTGAAGAGGGAATATAAGTCTAGTTCAGTGACAACCACTGGGAGATGTAAAAAGATAAGCAAACAGAAGATAGATACAAAATACCATAAGATACCCAATGCAATATGATGTAACCAAAATAAGAACTGTCCTCTTCTCTAGATACAATTGCACAAAGTATGTTTCAGGTGCTTCCAACTTCTAATAACATAATTTAGGCTAAGAGAAGACTTGGTTATTCAGGAAAAAGTTCAAAATCTCTATAAAAGGTATTCCATACATACTTTGAGCCAAATGAATCTAACTGCTTCAGTAGCTCTACTCTGGTCATTTCTGTATCTAAACCTTACCTAACCTCAATACCTTCATCTCCTCTATGAACCTCTCTGATCATAGATTTACTCAGTCTTCTCAATACCTAATGAATTCTGTTCTCTCCACCTTTCCTCTAGCACTTAATTGAATCCCACTCAACAATATCATGTATAATTCCATCACCAGTATCAATTAGATATGTAAGTCCTGAGGAAAGACAGGTTCTTATTCTAAACTAAATATTCCAGTCTTATCACATGCCTTGCACAGTTTTTTCTTTCTTTCTTTCTTTTTTTTTTTTTTTTTAAGATTTTACTTATTTATTTGACAGAGAGACACAACAAGAGAGGGAACACAAGCAGGAGGAGTACGAGAGGGAGAAGCAGGCTTCCAGCTGAGCAGGGAGCCTGATGTGGGGCTCAATCTCAGGATCCTGCAATCATGACCTGAGCCGAAGGCAGATGCTTAAGGACTGAGCCATCCAGGCGCCCTGCCTTGCACAGTTTCATACACTATTAATATAAGTATGTGGATTGACAGTAACTAAAGCAAGGAAAGAACAGTTAAAAAGAATGCCATATTTAACAAATGGTGCTGGAATAAGCATATATCCGCATGCAAAAGAATCATACCATATAAAAAAATTAACTCAAAACAGAATGAACACCTAAAGGTAAGAGCCAAAACTATCAAATTCTTAGAAGAACGTGGGTGTATTCTCAACCTTGTATTGGACAATGGTTTCTTAGGTATGATACCAAAAGCACAAGTAACAAAAATAAATAAATAGGTAGAGAGATAGATAAATAAATAACTCCTAGAATGACAGAGAACTGTTACAATCTAACAAGACAACCCCATTTAAAAATGAGCAGGGGCAACTGGGTGACTCAGTCAGTTAATTGTCTGACTCTTTGATTTCGGCTCAGGTCATGATCTCAGGGTCCTGGGATCAAGCCCCATGTGGGGCTCTGCACTCAGCATGGAAATCTGCTTGCCCATCTCTCTGTGCTTTTCCGCCTGCTCACTTGTGCATTTGCACAAATAAATTCTTAAAAAATAAAAATGGACAAAGAATTTGAACATTTTTTTCCCCAAAGAGGAAAGACAAATAACCAATAAACACAGGAGAAGATGTTCAACATTATTAGTCAAAAGAAAAATGAAAATCAAAACTACAAAGAGAAACTACTTCACACCCACTGGGATAGCTATAATGAAAACGATGGACAACAAAAAGAGTAGGAGAGGATGCGGAGAATTTAGAACCCTCACACATTGCTGGTGGGATGTCATATGGTGCAGTGACTAAAGAAAACAATCTGATAGTTCCTCAGAAAGTTAATAATAACATATAATAACATAATAACCATATGATACAGGAATTCTACTGCTAGGTACATACCTGAGAGAAATGAAAACATATGTCCAGACACAAACTTGTATAGGAATGTTC